CCAGGAGGTCTCCCATCCAGGTACTGACCAGGCTCACACCTGCTTAGCTTCAGTGGGTTGCCAGTTGTGAGTTGCAGGGTGATATGGCTGCTGGCCAATATCAGCCTGGCAACTGATGATTGCTGCCCACATCTATATTTTCAATTTAGTTTCCTAAACACATTACTCCTTTGTATCAGACATTTGCAGTGAGGATGCATGGCCTTACATACACTCACAGAAGAACTGACACATGCAACCGACTTGTGTTCTACCTACTGTAGTTCAAACCCCCCGCCTTGTGCAGGTCATGAAGATGTTAAACAGTGATGTTTTGTATCCTGTTCGGATTCTTTTCCAGTTATAGTTGCATTTTGTTGTCCTGTTTGCAAGAATTCCATGTTGTCATCAGAAATTAACCAGACCTTTAGTCTTACCAGATGCTCAAGACATCCCCACTGTCATTCCTCAGCTTCCTTCGGCAAAGTGAAAAACATAGCTGTGGATCCCTGCCTGACTTACAGCCAGGCTAGGAAAATGCAATCCTTGCTTCACACCAGTGTCCTTCCATCCGTATTGAAGGAATGTCTCAGCCACATTGGCAATATAGGCAGAGTAGTAGGACTGCAGTGGATTCCAGACATTACGCCACAGGGGTGTGCTGGCTCAATAGGCCTTGACCCCAGTAGTGTGCTCTGTCAACAATACGTGACTTCAGAGTTATCCTGCCCTAAGAGTTTCAGAACAAAATGTGCCACAGACCATTTTCTAGTCCCTTCAGGGTTTCTAACTTTACAGCTGGGGGCATCACAATCAGTATTCCTCTTTGCAAACTTGTTCACGACTACTGACCATGTGGTCCTCATGGTCAGTGGTGGCGATCCCCATTTCACTGCCAGAAGTAGCCAGCTCAGATAAAGATTTCTGAACAGACGCAAGAGAACTGTCCGGGGACCTCAATCTGTCATTCATTGTTTTAGACAAGCTCTCAATTGCAGAAAGTATATCTTCAGCTGTAGGATTTGCATTTTTTTCCTCTGTCCTTTCAGCTTGGTCACTTGGATGAGTCTTTCTAGTTGTCTAGGGCTGTGGAAACTCTCAAAGTGTTTTGGCTTGTTTCTGCGTGAAAAGAAATAACTATCTGGGGAAGTGGAGAGCAGCTCAGAAAAGCCCTGGGAAAATTCAAAAGAGAACTTTAAAAACTCAGACAGACATGCTTTCAGCTACTTAAATCACAAATCGGGGAATCACTGCAGGCAGCTGTCATTTTAGTGTCAGCCACACAAGGAGAATTTAAGATGGTTAATTAATACTGTGTTCTGAACATGGAATAGGGCGATTTAATCCTTCAAAATAATCCATTCATTATGAAAAATTTCCACCCATCGGCAACCCATCGGTGTAGCGGTTTGCACTGCTGCTTCACTGCTCCTTTCTGGGTCCTGGGTTCGAGTCTGCAGTCCATTATCTTCCATATGGGATTGGAATGTTCTCTGTGTGCTGGCATGGGTTTTAACCAGTTGTTCCAGTTTCCTTCCACCTCCGAAAATAATTCAGCTGGCGAGGTAAATTGATATATCTGAATTTTCTGTGTGCATGAGTCCATTTGGCAACTGGTATGTGATGGACAGGCACACTGTCCAGCCTGCCCGGAGCTTCCACGACAGGCTCTGGGATGTCATTGTCCTTATCAAGAATAAGCAACTGTCTGATCATGGATGGATGCAAATTACTCCAGTCTATTTTTTCTCCTCTTCTGTAGTTGCCAGCCGATACATGCTATCCTGACTTGTTTACAGCTCCTTTAATAAATATAATCCTCGTACCAGTAAGCAATCAAAAACAGACGTGTCTGCATCAATGATGATGCATTCATTCTGCAGTGAAAATCTGCTCTTTATCTGCAGATAAATAAGTGATGGATATAAAATGTCTGTGCTGAAAATACTTGGCACATTAAATCATTTCATGTTCCCATAAGAAAATCATTAAAAGCTTTTTGGAAAACAAAAATGGGGGAAAAATGGGAGAGTGAATGCTGGTAACCTTCATGAAACCAAAAACATGAAATTCATACTCAACTATTTTCCTGTCATAAAATTCTCCACTGCTGTAGGTGGCAGCCAACGTGGAGGAGCAGACCTCCAGGTACCAGGGCTTGTTGCCGTTCTCCGTGGTGCTGCTGATAGAGATGGTGTAGATGCTGTTGGTGTAGCCATCACAGGAGCAGTGGTCTCCCTGCCTGCCGCCATTCCCCGACGCCCAGACAAAGATCGAGCCCAGTCCCTTCCGGCCCTGCACTCCCAAGACAAAGGAGAGAAGCGTCAGTGGCGTGCTGGCCCCAGGACTGAAGGAGAACCTGCAACAGGACCTCTGGGCTGCTGTTGTTTGGGACTGGTGACCTCTTGGATTCATAGTGAGGGCCATTGGCGTGAGCTTAGTCTGAAACATATTTCTACACCTCCTGCAGTCCAGTTATTGCATACTAGGTCAGTCATTTAGGAAACTACTTCATCAGCTTCTTCTTCCTCAGTCACCCCTGTTATTCCCAATCTCACCTTCTCTTTTATCTTTTTAATAGCATCGAAATGCACAGACAAACTCACCAAAGTTAACTCCAATGCCCACTCCCCACACCCACACCCACACCCATCTTGTTTCCTCTAATGCCTCTGTGTTCGTGAGGAAAGGCCACCACCTTGGACCCCAGCACCTTTTTAATGCCCAGCTCAAAGGCTTGCTTGGCGAGAGGACCGGGCCCGTCCACGGTCTTCCCGTCGTCGTCCGGCCCCCAGCTGGCACTGTAAATGTCAATGTAGTCGGGCCTGATGCCAAGAGACTTCGCCTCCACCACATCTGTCACATCTCCATCCAGCATCCGAATGCCTGAGAGCAAATATCGGCAATTAGCTGAACAGTCCTCGGAAACTACTTTACTCCAGGACTGGGGAGAGCTGAAAGAACTGGTGAAAATTATAATAAAATTCTGAAAACACTGAAAATAACATCCTGATGTTTTAAGAGACGGGGAATTTTGTTTGTTTCCACATTGAGGGCACATTTTCTTTCCCTTTTTCACCAATAAGTCAAGCCGTTGAAAAAGCATCTGTGTAGGAACTCCTTTTGTGTGAATTTCATTCAGGGAACTCTATTTCCTGAGAGTTTAAACACCCTGGAAAGCAATGTGCCTGAATCTATTCAAATGAAATTGATAGCTTTTTCTGAACTCTGTAGATACTTCTCCTTTCCAATAAGGTTTTTTTTTTTAGCAAAAGCTGCTAAATGGGAAAGCTAAACTGGGATTGCAAAAATAATTAACACTCAGAAAGATGGTGAATAATTTATTATTTTTATTAGTAGTAGTAATAGTAGTAGTAGTATTGTTATTATAACTATTTCATTAAATTCAGAATAGACTACCTTGCTATACACAAAGACTATTTCCATACTAAATAGCTGCTTGGTTGCATTTGAAAATATTTAGTGAATTCACCAAAAAGAGTGGAAAATGCTTGCAGTGGAAATAAAGGAATGAAGCACTTTTCAGAGTTGCTCCATTAGCATCAGGGTTAAAAGCTACATATTCGGAAAGGTTATAATGCTACATGAAGAGTGATGTTACCAAGGGGTTCAGTCTGGACATTATTTACTTTTTACTTTGGCGAACAGCCTAGATATTACCAGTCATCCACGTGAGACCTCTATACAGAAGTACATAAATCATAATTCTTATACTCTGAGACATTAGCACCACCAATACTCTCACAATAAATTTTGATCCTTAAAGACTTATAATAAAAGAATGAGAAAACATGTAAAAGGAGCAGAATGAGACAAAATGGAATGCAGGGCTTATACGCAAGACTAGATCCAAGGCTTAGTGAGTCAGATCCATGGCCTTAAAGTATTCCATCTTAACACATTGTGCAAACCTTGGATTAAATATGTCACGCAAGAGGTGTTTAGGGCATTTCAAAAACAGCGAACATCCTGTAAAACTGGAAATTTATAACCATAACTAGAGAATACCAGAGAGCTTGTTTATATTTTACTGTTAAAAATCGGAAGTCAGAATCTTGCGCATAAGCTAGCCCAAAATTCAAGATAAGTCTCTGGAATCAGCCCAGAGAAATGTTGATAAGGGAATGGCCTATACTTACAGGCTGAGGAAACCTTTTTAGTCTTGAACACGATAGGACTACAAGGAGACCACATACAAGTGTCCCAAATCCTCAAAAGCGCTGACAAAGTCAACCCAGTGGATTCCTTCCGATGGAACAGAGAAACATGAACCAGAGGGCAGTGACAGGTGACCCAAGTGGGAACTTAAAACCAAAAACAGAAGCCAAAGGGTAGTGGGAATATGGAAGAAGCTAACCAGCCATGTTATTGAAGCCACAGCTGTATTTTGTTTCTATGACATTGCTGGATGAAATGCTTGGATTAATTAATTAACCGCCAAACAGGCAAGATGGGTCGAATGGCCTCCTCTTATCTGTAATTGTTCTCATAGCCATTTTGGATATTCTGTTGCTAATGTGCTCGACAAGCTCTGTTCTGGTGACACACAATGTAATACGAAGCAGAAAAACAGGAGATTCAAAACGTTCTGTCTCTCCGCACGGAAGACACACCTGACGGCTTTCTTTTTTCTTTGGGAGGGGGAGGCAGGGACACCTCTGTCCCTTAATTAGCTTTATTTCTTCCTCAGTCAAACATATTATGGAGAATCGAAAACACATATGGATGTGTAATCTCAGTTTGCTGTATGTGCTGTATCTTGAATATATAAACCAGCTGTAGACAGAAATTCAGATACCATCGTGTTTTCTGAAGTCAAAGCAGATGACTCTTCTACATTTCTCTTAGAAGACTCATGACTTTTCTAAAGTCTTAGTACATGAAAGTCAAACAGCTGAGGTTGCACATAAAACTGCTCCAAACCGTAATAACTAAAGCTCCATTTTAAAAGTCAAAGCATCTACTAAAGCTGTGCATTTCATTACTGAGACATGTGTCATAAAGACAAGCTCCTGCTACAGAAAGATTTTCCATACAGAAGAGGCATCGTTAAGCTCCTTATGAAAATTTTGTGGAGAAAAAAAAACCTGAAGCCAAGAAGTAAACCAGGCACCTTTTGAAATACCCAATCAAGACTATTTACTTTACACAAACTGGAGTCTCCAGCTGCGTTTCTTTTCTCTGCCCTCCAAAGCGGCATCACCTGCTGTCTCTCACGTGAGCCGTTTTCTCACCCTGAACTCCCAAGACAGCTTCACATGCCTTCCTGTGGCCCGGCACGCTGCCAGGCCGCCCGCTTCTTCCCATCTCTGCCAGCCAGCCGATCCTACAGGACATCCGGCGTCAAGCGGACCGGCGAGCGCAGCTCTCACCGACTGCGCTGCCTGCTCACTGGCGCTACCTGCTGGCAGGTCAAGGGGAACTGCATTCTGAGCAGCCTGAGTTCACCCAACCTACACTTGAGGCAGCTCATTCATAGTCCGCTAGTGGAGCAGCTCAGTCACAGATCAGTGTATGGAGCATTTACTGTCTGAGCCTCAGTCTTTCAACCAAACACCATCGGGAGGATGTGATCGGCAGTGATATAACAGAAGAAGGACACTCTTCCTTCCACACTTCCGCACACCAGTGGCAGACTCAGCTACTTCTGTGTGCATGACTAATGTGCTAATAGACTGAAAGAATGTATTTGAAATTCCGTTTTTTCAGGCCTCCATCATTCGCCTCCAGCCCCCACCCCCTGCCACTTCCCCTCCTCTCCAACGTGGAGCCTCACTGATTGCATCATCTAAAAAAATAATCTGAACTACATTGCATAATTGGTGCAAATAACTCCTTTGGCAGCACTCCGGAGCCTGATGCCACCCTTGGCATTTTGTGAAAGAAAAAAAAACTTTCATCTTAGGATTTCAAAAGCACAGCTGCGGATGGAAAAAAAACGCGCAGGGTAAGCAGTATATGCTTCGATTCTCATTTTTGATTAAAATTCCCTGAATCCACACTGCAGAAACTTCCAATGAATTAATAGTTTTGTGAATGCATGAATGTACACCCACTCCAAGGCACCAAATTAATGTGTAGTGAAACCCTTTCACAGTGCCAAAGCACCTCAAGGTTAATCCTGTGCACACGTGTGGAATAATTCTGCTCAGAGACCCTACCTCCTATCCGAGCATTGTACGCAATACCAACGATGCAGTGAGAGTTATTTGCGACAGCTGCCACTTCCCCGGCGCATCGTGTTCCATGCCTGAAAAACATTAAAAAAACACACTGATCTATCAGAAACAAAATCCATCGCCATATTTCTCATTTTACTCTACTTCCGTTGTTTGTTGGTATGATTTTTCCTCAAAAAACAGACAGACCCGCACTCCTTGCAGAGTATTTTCAGAAGGGAAAGGACTCAAGTCATGTTGTACATCCTACAACCTGTGATGACTGTATGTCATTCCTTAAGTCATGCCCACTGCATCTTCTGTTCTCAAAGTAGCAATGTGGAAAAGTAATTAAGACTAATCCACCACTAATACAGGAATTTGTGAACTTAAATACAGAACTATCAGTGACAACCGACATGATATGTACAGGGTTGGTATTTTTTGCCTCAATTGCAACATTAAGAGGCTGGAAATAAAACATTATATAAAATACCCAGATCTCACCATACCCAGGTTGATTTTAAAAAAACCAGTTGAGATTAACACTGTAATCTCACTGTACACATAAAACAGTGAGCTATTATGTTATGTTATATTTAACGAAAGATTTAGTAACCAACAATGTCTTGCTGGCAGATGAGTTCAATATTGCTTATGAGAATGAAAGGCAGCTTCAAATGGGCTTTTGCACAAGATTAGACAGAGCTGAAGGATATCAGAGAATCTGAATAAATCCAGAGAAGTCATGGAACCCGCTGCGATAAAAAGGCATCACCTTAGTTATGTCTGTCCGCTCACCCCTAGACAGATTAAGGTAATCAGGCAGATGCATTTTTAACGACGTCCATAGCAAATCAAAAGTGATGCCTGCCTATAATAAGCACCTATAAGGTGCTTTTGAAAAATAAAATCAAAGAAGCGAAAGAGGTGAACCTGTCATGTTTTGCGGGAAGGGAGTGGGAGATAAAAATGTAATTTCAGAACGAAGCTTGGTTGTTTTAATTAGCCCCTCGAAGTATCTGAAGTCGTGAGGCCTGCCACAGAGCAATCGCAAGTTCATTTCAGACTGAATGTGGTGCTGAACACCAATAAGGTACCTCAGCATACAAAGTACTGCATTACACCCTCTCCCATTAGCTTTGTACTAATGAACATAGTGTGTGAAAGGTGTGGAAATGAATATTAAAGCTGCTATTCTAACCCCAGGGCAGGTATATCAGAGACGTCCCTGTGCCAGACTCCTCTATGCCGTTTCTGTGTGATGGGGGTGACACATAACACACCTGCTCCGCTGTGCTGCTTTAATTGATTTTTTTAAAAAAGCCGGGCACATCATCTGGGCTAAGGGCAAATCCTATTGTTGAAATTCAACCCCCGAAGAAATTAACCGAGATATCTTACAGTCGCTTCTCTCGGATAAACAAGCTGGGCGGGGAAAAGGACCGTGACCGCACGTCAGCCTTCGTCGCCGCTCGTCCCCGAAGCAGCCACTGCTCTGGGCTACTTTGGGACGATGAAGGGGAGAATGGCTCATTTATTTTTCAAAGGCGGCAAGGGAATAGCAGCAAGAAAAAAGCCAGCTCCTCGGGAGTCTAGTTTTGCTCTCCAAACTAAACTCACAGCATAGCCCTCTCGGTGCCCCACAGTGCTCATGAGGCAGCCAGGGCCTCACTGCCCTAGCTAGGATTAGGATGGTTAGGTGATGTTCTCTACTTGCCAAAACCTGAACACCCACACAGATCCAACATTAAAAGCAGCTGGGGCGTTTAATTAAAGCAATGTATTAATCAAGAGCGTTACATCATAATACTTATGCATTCACCCCCCCTCCCCCAACAAAGCTGGAGGGCCTTGACAAAAACCCAATTGTCAACAGAGGGAGAGGCTGGCACCCACTTATTCTCATTGCTGGAGTCGTAGCGCGGAGTGGGGTCGTGGTCGTTACCGTTGACATCATAGCTTGCCAGCTGATCCTGGAAACAAAAAAAAAAAGGAAAAAGAAACAAAAATCATCACAGGTGCAGCGCAATAAAAAAAAAACAACAGTCCTCTGCTTTCTTTAACTTTTATGTCGCGTCACATGATTGCTCCGCTGTTGAGCCGCATGTAATAAATTTGAACCGCTGCAGGCCATGATTTACAACTATAAGCTGAAAAGTATAGCAAAATGCAGTTTATTTATGGCAAGGCGGCATGTCTCGATGGTTTCATCCATCCAGTGTTAAGAAGCCGCGTGTTTGTACTAGGAGTCATGGAAAGCCGAAGCCTATTTCAGAAACACAAGGCTTCCCCAGTCCAGTCCATTGCTGGGCACACACACACACAAGCTTGCAGGGGTCATTTAAAGACACCACTTAACTTACATGTCTTTTGAAGGTAGGAACTCCACACAGGACTCAGACCCAGGACCCAGGAGCCACGAGGCAGCAGTGCAAAACACCACCCCCCTGTGCTGCTCTCAGTAGTTACATATTGGAGCTATTCTCTGGAGTTAATCTGCAGGGGCTCTGGTTCATGGTACAGCAGCGGTGTATTCTCACTGGCGGGCTCTACTGATCCTTGATGTGGAGGTGGTTTTTTCAATGAAACCTACGTAATTCTGTGCCAGATCAGGGTGGTTCCTCTCGATCCCATCGTCCAGGATGGTGACCACGACGTTCTTCCCCGTGTAGCCTCTCTGCCAGGCAGCCAGGATGTTCATTTCAGACCGGCAGCGGCCGCTTCTGTCACTGCAGTGCTGAATGACGGCAACAGAGAGAAAACCCAGCACCTACCATTTTAACACTTTTGCTACTGTTCAAAAAAGCTTTTCAATAGAACAACATACACCACATTTAGAAAAAACTGTCTGACAGTAATGGCTGTTTTCTGTGTGGGCATTGTCCTACCAGTGAACAAAAAGGAAACGAAATGAAGTGGAGTTACAGTAGGCCAGTAGCATTGCACTTGCATCAGACATGCTGTAAATGTTTCTTACTGCTGGGAAAACTGAAAAGGCTCAGGACCTTGAAAGTTTACTGATGGAATGCATTCAGTTTTCATATTTTCATTTAATCACATCTACAATTGTAAGATTCAGAAAAAAATAAGTTTTCTGTGTTCTCATCGGGGACAAATAAATGCATGCACTGTTGTCCTTAATGCAGGTGTTATCTGGGTGCCAATAATGCCATCAGATCAATACATTATCAATAAAAATTAATCATCTCATCTTGTGAATTTTAATTGAATAGGCACAACAAGCACTGGTCTCACTGGACCGGATGGAAGATTGCAGCTCAGGGTTGGTAATACAAAAGACACAAAAGGATTTCTATAGCTACTGTTCAGAGGGGATAAAGGCTTAATGATTAAATCGTCTGCCTGCAATGTGCATTGATGATCTTAATCTTTAGGAAAAAGAAACTGAAACCACTCAGTATTGTTACATTGGTTAGTGAAGGACTTCCTTTTGTAACATATTGAAATTCATGAACCCTGGACCTTGATTTCTATCTTGCTTTCTTTTGCTCAGATTTAAGGGGTTTTGATATTTCCATTACAGATATAACAAAAAATGTGTCCGCTCCAATGCATGTACCTGGTCCTGAATAATCTGCAACACTGTCAGAAAGCTGAGGACAATCTAAACTTGGTCCACTTGGGGTTACAGTAGCCTTCAGCTTTTTACTTCAACCAAGTCTTTCGTCTCTTGGTTCCACTGGCCAAAATGACCATTTTTTTAGCTATCTGAAGAACCTGATTTGGAGAGACCTGCATATTCCCCCAGACTGAGGCTGTCCAAATGCATACCTGGCCTTTCCACAGCAATGTCACAGAGAGACTGGAAGAGTTCATTCTCAGAAAAAAGTATGATTTTAGAAATTCTGCTATTTGCTGTCCAAATTAAAATGAAAAAAGAATGAGCCGAGTTCTTTTGTCCCTGTTCCTCTGCTGAGTGACTCATACTCAAAAAGCACTAAATGTGAGGAATGTAGAGTATGAGACATCAGCAACATGGACAAAAAGCCCTGTCCCCTTCCTCTAAATGTTTAAAAATAAGAACAAAAAGTCCGACAGTATACTGCTTGTCATCAGCATCTCAAGACTCATTCAGCTGGAACCCTACTTAGCTACCTCTTTGTAGCATGTAAAAAAAGTCTGGTGTCATTTCATACCTTAAATGCAAACTACTAAGCATTTCCATACATGCAAACTAAGCATTTGAACATTCCAGAATAATGCCAAGTACTCAATTACGTTTCTAAATAAACACGCAGAGGTCTGGAGTCTAATTTTCCTAGTCACAGCTTCACAGGGTTAAACCATCAAATATGGAAGTGGTATATATTTATGATCCACATCATATATACACTTCACTGATACGTCACAAGATAAACTATTTTATCAGACTTCAGAATTGACAGACAGAATAGGCCCTATGCAAGTTTTTGTTTCCTCTCTTCTGAGAGGTGAAAAATCTGACAATTAGTAGTATACAGTATATGATAAACAACTCTGTCATAATTACCTTGCACAAGTATTTCCTAACCTCACTTGAAAGCTACATCACGAGATGCAGTCACGGGATATAAGAAATGATTGACCTAAAATATATATCTCCCAATACTGTCTGTGAAGTTTATCCTGCCAGGACCCTGCAGATTAATTTAATCACAGAGATCTTTTCTGTGAACCTTGCTGGGAAATAAACTGAGACAAATGAGCACAGGGACGTCATCCATGATCCACTCCGTTAAGCAGTTGGTAAGAAATGCTGTGATGAGCTTGAAATAGAGGTATACTCTTAAAATGGGACAATTTGTGTGCAAATAAATGCTGGGCTACAGCAGTGCACAACGCATAAAAAAAAAACAGAAATCGTCCTGTTCAGATTTCACTGTCAATGTTCCGAGCACATGAGAAAAAAACAAGTTAGCAAAACAGAAATATTCCCATGAGAAGATTCCGAGAAAGTACCGAGGTCATGAATGCCAGATACTCAACTTGTACTGTATACAGTGGATACCACTGGAAACTGAACAAAGCTCATAATATTTTCCAAACATGCTGTTATAATTCAGATTTATGAGATAAATGATATATATTTAAGTATTTAATGGTTTATTTTTGTATATTTGGTAAATCAATTGGAAACCTAAAAATGACAGCTTTATTTCCCAGCCCAATAAGAGAAAGAGAGACATGTATAGACTACTGTATATACGGTATGGACAGACAGGTGGCTAGACATACTGTATGCCATACAGTATTTACATATACATAGAGAAATGCATACACATATACCAAATGTAGCATATTTTCTAAAACTTACAATCTGAAATTGCTTAAAGAGAAATGTTTACCACATTTTTAACTAGTCCTTTTACACAAACATGGGCACTGACTGCAGAAAAATGGCGAACACTCCAGTTGATGAAAGACTTTTCTGCTATCACGTCATAGACACGGGTTGGTCCTGTTGCCCGGTTTAATCCATTCCAAGCCCGAGTGTACTGGGTTTTAACTCTCGCAGAACTCCATTTGAAGCAGAACAATTTCACACATGAGTAAATATAAAGACCTCTTATCACAAACTCATTTAATTAAAAAATCTGTCAGCAGGTACATTAGCTCAGGATGCAATTCTATTAATATGCACGTTTCAGACTGTGCGGCAGCGATAGGCACTTCAAACAGAGAGAAATCAACAATATCACAACATTAGTGCTGTCTGCTTCTATTTACACTGCAGAACAACACCAGGGAATATAGAGTAAACCTTGCAGAGAAAGGGAGGTAATATGGGGGCTATATATGAAGTAATGTAATCAACAAATAAAAGCCATTCCTTTTCTGTACTGTATAATATATAATGTATAATATACAAGGTATCCCCTTGAGATGACATTGAATCACAGAGTAAATTACTTACATGTACTGTATATATTATTGCCCTGAAAAAATAAATCCTGTAAGCCTGTTTGTTGTGGGGGAGGTGCAAGAGAAACAAAAATAAACCCTGTGCTTCTTAGTAAGTGAGAAAACCATTGCACCTACCAAGTGAAAGGCGAAGCCAGGAGGGCAAAGGTCACAGAAACAACAGGGTTAACAAACAAGAAGACTAGTAAGGGCCAAAGCTCAGCTTTCCAGTATGTTTCTGGTGTTGTGTTAAATGGGAATGTGTCCAAAAAAGGAGGCTTACTCACAATATACCACATGTTGGACCACTTAGGATCGTTGAAGTAGATGAAATTTTGATCTGTCCTGATGTACCTCTTGACCCTGGACTTGACCACTTGCTGCTGAATCCAATGAACCTGCAGTGGGTTTCAGACAAAGCAGTTAATCTCCAAATCTAAAACGGGCACACACATCTAATTTAGGGACCTTTGCCATCTTTTTTGAAAGCAAACAGCTTCCATATTTTAATTTGCGAAATCTATCCATCGTTCAGCTGATTTGTTTATTTATTAAGCTCTCCTTATTAATGAAAAAAGACATAGCAAGGGAAAAGTGCTTTGTAATGGCCTTTCCTGCTACCAGCCAAAAGTATTCAAAAGAGCACAGAATATATCATTGAAAGTTTCAAATACATTTTACTGTATGCCATCCTCTTTTAACCAATTCAACCATTTACATTTACGCATTCTTTCAGTATATTTTGCCTGTCATAGTAAAGTGTATCCTCTCCTTTCACTCAAACAAAGAATGAGATCATCAATATGCAATCCATTCCAAACAGCTCAGTCGAAAACCTAAGGCTCACACACAACACACAACACACACAAAACCCCCTGTAAAATGAACCTGTGCTTGTTTCACATCACCACTCAATAACAATGATACAGTATGTCCATTTTAAATTTCAAGGATGGGGATGTTGGATTGTCTGTGATCAGGTCACCTTCCATAAAGCTGTAAAGATAGATTTGGATAACAAAGGAAATACTGTTTCAGCCAAAAAAGCTTAAAGAACAATATGCATAATGACACCTAAGGACTTGGGAATGCGTGTGACAATGACATTGCCTATTCTCCACGACAGACAGCTTACCCACGTTCCAGGCAGAGCCTACAGAATGTTTTCCATATTGGAACTATTGGAACGGGACACAGAAACCTTGAAATTCTTAATGGAAATGAAAATGGTTAGGCTGCCAGAAACTTCTTTCATTTAAAAAGAAATCCTTAAAAATGAATGAAGCATTGGCCAACTCATGTTTTATTGTTAGTTTTGAAAGTAGGATGAGAGGTCAGACATAAAATGGAATTTCAAAAGATTCTTTTGGGATTGAAGTTTTCTGAGAATATGGGAAAGAAATGCAGTCAACTCTAAACCCATATAATAACATGTTTTCTGGCATTCTTGTAGTTGACAGCTACAACATTTCAAATTCAAATTCAATTAAAAAGTCATCGAAGCAAATTGAGCTTGTTTACCTATTTTGGATTACGACGCTGGTTATGGACACATAGTGACTAGGACAGACATAGTTTCAAATATTAACATCTAAATCGGCTTTTCAGAATTCCTATTGGGCTAGTCGACACATGTCTTACAGTTCTATAAGACAGTTTTATCATCAGCTCTAAATACAATACATACTCCATTTCCTTGCCATGAAAATGTACTCAAGCACAGGAAAGAATTAACCTAGTAAAAAATTGCCTCGGTTAAAAAACATCCAAGTGTAGATTGCTACAAATTACCATTCTGAATGCCATCATATGTTCTAAGTCACACAGGCAGAACTTTGTAACAATTTCTTTGCCTTGCTTAAGGGAACTGGGTATGCTCCAGAGTAGATAAATAATTGACAAGATGAATTCCTTTGCCATCATCTTTGAAAACCTCTTTACTGTTAACGTTCTCATTTTGTCTCAAAACTAAACCTAATTCAGCTGGAACATTTCTGCTTTTATTTTGCTTCCGAGAAGCTTTAATGGTTGCTCACAAGGTTTATCTCTAACAGGGGGAAAAAACCTCTTTATTGCACCATTACAATGCAGTTATACTCCATTTAACTGATAAATAGTCCAGTCACAATAATAGGAAGGCCTTCAAATCATATAGCAATAAAATGCAGCTCTGCAGTGCTGCTATTCAGCACTGTAGTGGCAACAGTGGGAAAATGGAATTCAATGTACAGCACAGATCAACTGGCCTGACACCGATAAAGAAGGTTATTAAGTGTTGAGCTCAGCTTTCCATTTGTGTGGATGTCTTTGGACACGATATGATCGCAATGACTATTCGCCAACGCCACTCAAAGCATGAGCTCCTAGGTTTTATTTCTCCTGAGAATCAGGAATGTCTGAAAAAGATAATCTTAGTAAGGAGGGCAGGTTTCAGGCCAAGGAAACAGCTTGACTTTGTCTTAAACCTGCCTGGATTCTTTATCAGATGATGCTCTATAAACAGCCCCTGCATTATTAATACATTATATGTGTGCCAGTGGAATAGAAACTAGCTTGTACATTGTTGACATAACTCTCTGTTCCTTCCAACAGACACACTACAACTCAAACTCTAGAATTATTATTAAACAGAATACACAAAGAGATCTGTATCTTACAAATACATGTGTTGTTTATTCGTCAAGAGACCTCATTTTGTCTAGCTTTGCTAATGTGTGAATTTACGTGGTGCTGAAGAGTTTATATTCTCTTCTCAGGAGAAGTAGCCTGCATCATGCTGGATGCTAGATAAACCATTATTAACGTAATAATTATTATATTTGATATCATAAGGAATGCTCCAATGCTCAGTTTCAGTCGGGGGTTTGACTGTAGTGTTTATTTAATTGGTTTAACCTGATGGATAAAAAATACTTTTATTATTTGCAACATCCTTATGACAGCGTGTTAGTGGACATTTGTCCAGTTCCTACCTTAGGGTCCATATTGATGAAGCTGTGAGAACCCCTTAAAGAGAAAGCAGATCTCCTGACAACCTTGCTGTGATGAAAATGATAATGATCCTCCAGGCTTCCAATCTAAACAACACAAAGAGACAGGTACTGAGTTCAAGGTTAGACTGCTGCTAGTAAATATTTCTAAACCACTGCCTAGTGCCCCGACACCTCGAAACCTTCAGTCTTCAATCTCTACAAGCAACACTGGTGTAGAACAACATTATGCACCTGGAGGCATTAGAGGTGTATTCCTTTTAACATTAGACATACCTACACAACAGCATAGGCTATAAATATAATTTGACAGAATCTAAGTTCTAAAGAATATTTAAACCCTATTGCAGGCTTGAAGGTCTTGTACTGTTAAGTGTGTTAAAGGGCACAGAACACACAGACCTTTACATAATAAATGCTTTGTGTCCTTTGTGGGGGTTTTTTTTTTCTCAGTGAGGCATATTTAATTACATTAAATGCAAATAATATTTATAATTCAAGTGAAGGCATGTTATAACCTAAGGAGTCATTCCAGCAGCTATTTGCACAAAAATGAACTCTGAAATAAAAAAAAACACAAGGAATTTCACAAAGAGCCCCAGAGATCTTCACATCTATAAAAGGTGTGTACAGCTGTCTCTCTCACCCTCTCTCTTTCTGTTCAGTTCGAACGATTTTTAGCAAATGTCACAATGTCTTAACTCTGAGTCCTAGCCTTGAATGGAGGTTTGGTGGAAAAACAGTGTAACTATATCTTTAAACATAAGTATATCCAGATTTACTTGTGGATAACACCACGCAGACAATCAGAGCTTCCTGTAAAAATGCAACAAGACAACATACAGAAGTTGCTCTGAGGATGATCACCGTAGAGTAAATGAAACCATGTGCTTGTGGCTGCAACATCAGGATTTGATGTGCAAAATGTTTAAAAATTCAAATTCCAGGGAGAGAGGAAACGAGCTGTCACAGAAACAAATACCTTTGCCATATCTTAAAAACTCAATGCAGCATTTTTTGGTTAGGTTGTCCAGGTTTAATAAGAACTAGGAGGAAATCCTTTAAGTACGTGGAAATTGTTCCATTTGATTAATGTAAGAAAGTAAACACTGTGGCTATTGCGAAGAAATTATATAAACTTGTATCGAGGAAAGACAATAAGACCGCGAGAATGCCATTTCATTACCTATTTGATTAGATTCTTTCTAGTTCAGTGATTCCGTTAAGAAGTCAATATGTGATTAAAGCCAATGGACGACAAATTATTTCCTTATTTAAAACAAGTGTCACAACGGCAGGAAACGTGTTTATATTAAGTCATTCAATTCAATTCAACTTTATTGTCATTAAACTTACACAGTAAGTTTTACTATGCACTTACACAGGTGCATAGTATAATGAAAAGTGTTTCTCATTAGTCACTCAGGTGCAGTATATAAATAGGACAGAAGATAAGACAATAGACAGTAACACAATAGCAATAACATAACATAACATAACATAACATAACATAACATAACATAACATAACATAACATAACATAACATAACATAACATAACATGTAAAGTCAAGTCAAGTCAAGTCAAGGCAAGGCAAGTCATGGTCCAAAATACACAGTTAAAAGGCAGCAATTGCGTACGTCATTGAACATCAGTTTTAGAATAGCAATAACAGATGTATTAATACGCCAAGATATTTTTTTTCCCATTTATCTAATAATACACATACTTGCACGACAATCAGAACGGGGTGTAATTCTTACCAAACTCATAATCTTACGTTTGAACTAAAAATATTCATTTATGTCCTTATATCTTTTCCTGCTAACGATCTATTTGGCAAAATCACACATGAACGTTTTGAAGGCTTAGAGACCCAGATTCCGGGGATGCCAATGAATGTTTTGCATCCTGATTAAAGCAGAGACTACAAAAAAGTACACTCGTTGACACGCAGCTTGTCAGTTTTAAATGATCAAGCTATTAATTTGCATAAACCCAAGCGTGGTTGTCAACAGTGCCTAATCAAGAGAAGTAAATTCGGTCGTGCACAGCTGTTCTAGGCTTGCGAATGTTAATTATTTAGAAACAATGAACCCGGGGTCTGCGGAGCAAATAACCACCTTCCCACGATGTAATACAAAGAACTGGGAGCACTGCCCTGCTCTACCGCAAGATGGCCAGTGATATCACGCTAATCTGAGAAGCGAAAAGGCTGCTGAAAAAGTTGGAAAGCGCTTCTAAAGACAGACTTGTGTGTCGGCAGTTTACAATCTAGAGACGTTTCAAACGGATAAGCCGGAAAAGAAATGGTACGTTGTTGTAAGGCTGAATGTTTGAAAAGTCGCATCCTATTTATTTTGTATTTTGGTTTCCAGACGAGAAAACACCTTGAACGCCAAACGCCAGACACAAGACGGTTTCTTCCCCCGTTTTGCGGTTTTTAATTCCTACACAGATTTAGTACACTATCGCCTCATTATTTTACGTTTTTGTCGCTTTCTTTAGTCTACGAAGCAGTCGAAGAATCTAACCCGCAGAGACAGCAACGGAAAAATGAAACGATTGAGGAATTGGTAACAAGTACAATGCAAACAAGCTTCCCACCGATACACATTCTTCTGATAGAAACACTCAAGCGAACTGCCCAGAACAGTTGCGGCTTCAAGCGAATTGCACAGAATCTTAAAAGAAATCAAGTCTCTTACCTGTCCTAAATTATTATAGCCATATTTTGTAGCAAGTTTATCAGCTTCTTCGCGTCCCCCAGAAATTCGTACAGCCCAGTGATTTGTATAAATGTTTCGGGAAGGCAGTGTCTGGCAAATGCTGAAAGTTGAAAACAGAAGGCTCAAAATCAAATGCATGCTGTCACTGTATTGAGTGATCCCGTGGCTTAAAAACGCACCTTAAGAAGAGCCAATATATAACTAAGAAAAATAAGGTGCGATGCTTCCTTAATTTGAATGCGGATAGTACATCACGTTGGATCGAGATTGTTCCTACTTCTTTGTTATTTTTTGCACATTCTCTGGGCGGTATAAAGATAAATATGTGTATGTACAGAAAAGTTGAACTGAAAAAGAAGTGACTGCTGCTGCTGTAACGCTCCACTATATGTCAATACAGCAACCAATAGAAAGCCACACTCCCACTCAGCCTATAGCAGAGGAAAGCAGAAGGTAAATCTGGAGCTGGCGTCAGGGCTGTACAACTGCCGGGGATCAAAGAGGGAGATACTGAGCCGGAGTCGCGCACCTTAGACCGGCCGCGCAAAGTCGGAGGAGTTGAGCCTCTGGACGGAATTCGGATGTGAAGTCGGCGAGGAAACAGGCGACACCTTACCCTTAGATTCATTTTTTTTATTCGTTAAAAATCATTCTTAAATTTCGGTACCGCTGAAGCTAGGAGCCTAAAGCAGTCTGGGAATGTGCGATCTCCCAGGTTCCTGACATTAAACTTTTGTTTCTAAAACAAAAATCCGCCGTTTCAATGTTTCTGCATAATCACATTTGTCGGTGAACACCGTTTTATGTCAACATCTTCCCGATTGTTACTCTCTTCCAAGGAATAATTGTTTAGATTTATTACAACTGGACTCGAAAACAAATTGCGCGTTCCGGTTAGCTAGTGTAATGCGCGACCTGAAAGATTACAGGGGGGGTGGGGTCTGCGTTTGTCCTTACTGTTTTGCAGTCTTTGCCATTTAAACTGTACACTGTGTCGAAACGCCTTCGGGAATAACCCTGCTCCAGAGGCAGGAGACTACCGGGCTGCAGAGCGGGAACGTCACACCTGCGGAGAGGAAATATTGCGCAAACGGACTCAAGAGTTTGGGCCTTGACTGCGAGAAGAAAACGGCATTTTATCTCGGGTTTTAAATTTTCAAACGCGCGCGCAAAGGTTCAAATAATTACTCGTTATATTGTTGTTGTCAATAACCATGTCTTTCCAGCAGATATTAAATCATTCTGGATAAAGTTAACTGATTAGCACTGAACCGGTATTTTAGCCACAAGTGTCCATTCCGTCGAGGATTTATAAACGGGGGATCGACGGAATAAACAGCTTTTCTAAGAAATCCTGCCAAACTTAAACGCTGCTTGGCGACTTCAATTCTAAGTGATGTGACTTTGTGTGATCAACGGTAGGATTATGTACTTGGGTATATCTTTCATCAACACTGGCTTTGTATGGAGGGAAATAACAAACGTGGTCTCACAAGATTTTTAGAAGTTGTCTACGTGAATCTGAACCGTACAGAGACTTTTATATATTAAAAATGGAAGACCAGAAATAATATGTAGCTTCATAAGGATAAGAACATAGCATAATGAAAACCCTGTATTGCTGAGCTGTATTCAAACAGTCCTGACCCGATTCTGCGTCGTGTCTTGTTCACTGCTTCTTTTGGTTGTAATTAATTCTAAGTTTCTCCTTCTCTTCCTTTCTCGTTACTTGTGAGCTTGCTTCCACATTTGACAATAACACACAAAAGCAGGGCCGAGATTGTGATTCATTTAGGAGAGGGATTCTTAGGAAAAATAATGTTTTTTAATTGAAATGATACGTCTACAAGTAAAATGTTACTCCGAGGAGATACCAGTCAAAGACCTGAAATGTGTAGTTCTGTCTTCTTTTCACAAGCCCCCCCGTGGTTAAAAACTGTGACACTATAAGTCCAAACACTATACTGTAGGTGAAAGTTTGGACTAGATTAGATAAGTTGATTGTTAGGGGTCATACACAATACTTCCAGCAAGAATGTTGATAATTACCATTAGAGCATATTGTAATATGCAGCTGGTAAATAAAGGGTACTTACTGTACGTTGTGGCAACCTTTTTGGAATAAAAAATCTGGTACAGCCTTAGAATATGTAAATATTAATTTATATGGAAAAAAACTCACTAGTCACTAAAGGTAATGAAGTTATTCAAAATGATTAATAGTTCCGTCAATAAATTCTCTTCAAATAAATCTGGTAAAATAAATCAAATAAAGTTTATAAATAAATAAATTGTTTAGTGGAAGTAGAAGCTGTTTAGTTTGAGGCAATGGTCTAATGAAGAACTGACATGAAATCCTCCCATTAAATATCTGCAGACCTCTGTAGTTTTAATTATGTGTTATGTTTTTCTGCTCTGGCTGTAGTGTGTAATCACCCCTTATGCTCCAATGTTTTCATTATGTGCCCCCTGGCTGAGGTAAACTAAAACAACATAAAAGCAACTGCAGCTAAATTAGAAGTCCCACGTATTTCTCTGTTCTTCACTACTGTACTTTCGCATCATTTTGTAGTAGATAATTGCACACATTATCCACCATTAGAATGAGGAGATTTTATGTACTGATGAGAAAGGGAAAGGTGTGTGTTTGATTAGATAACACAAAGTTTGTCTTTTTATCTCTTTTTTGCATTATATTCTGCATATTGGACATGGCTGGAGACAACAAATCAGGATATTCCTGGGCACATTGGTGTACTGTGTATACACACACTTGTATTTCCTGTGTAATACACAAGGTTGTTATGGCTACAGTTTAAACAGGATTAAGTCTCCCTGGTCTTCAGAAAGACCATTTCAACTGCTCTCACTCATGCCAGCCAAAAGAATCCAGTGAGGTTTTAGCCGTTTTCTTTCTAACCTGTCTGTCTCTGTATGAGCGGGACCTTATTTAGCATAGCCTCTTCACAACAGCCTGTTTTTCTAAACATTTGGCAACGTTTCCATTGGTAAGCTTTTTTGTTATTGTTGTCATCTGAAAAAAACAAATCAAAACGCTCATCAGAATTATTCCTGGTACTATTTCCATCAAGTGAAAATATTACATACTGTCTCAAAATAGAAGTCCTCTCATGCCATCTGCCTTTTTCTCTTTGCTCATAAAGCAATCTGTCTCCTGAACATTTTTTCATCACACATTTTAAATAAGTCTGTGATTCACAACAGATCGTGCAATCCCTTTATGGTTTCATACCTAAAGGGAACAAAAAGAATAGAGGGCATTTCAAATATGAATTTCTAACATTGCCATTAGTCCGCATGACTCTGAGAAAGTAGGTTTTCTCTGCACAGTAAAGACAAATGTTTATTGGTTTTGTAATTTTGCCTTAAGAACTTGTATTATCCTTTAAACTAATCGAAGATTTTCCACAAAGAAGTTCACACTGTCCTACTCATTTTGCGATTTTCCTCAATTCATGTACCTGGTAGGATTTTCTAGTTTTAATTGCAGGCTTAGGCATTAACATCATCACTATTCTGAGTACATCTAATTAAAAAATAGCAAACTGGTGAAGCATTACAAAGCAGGGGCTGGCCAACAACATGGCGGTGTGGTTTATTCCAGACATTAATACTACAAACTGGGGGTGTCATTGAACAGGATACCGAGCCATGTTGCTGAAACCAATTTCCTGGAATCTTTTAAAAAATGACTTAGGTGTGTTGCTCAGATCAGTTAGCTACTACTACCCAAGAGAGCAAGAGGAGATGAGTGGCCTCCTCTCTTTTGTAGCCTTTCTTACTTTCTTGTGGTGCTTGACAATACAAAGATTTTTGTAGGTCTCTTTTGATCACCTGTGCAAGTAAGGGGCAGACTATTAAATTAGTCCACCTGAGCAAGTCACTCAGGCAATGGGATGAAGTCCGGGGCACTTCACAGCCCACAATACTTGGCACTTACCAGCCATTTTTTACAGATGGACCAAACCATTCTAAAAGTTTGTGTGGTAATATGGTGGACTGCATTATTCCATGGGTCCCTCCATCTGTCCCAGCAGAAATTCACCTTTGCAGAGAGGAGGCTGTAAGGGTTAGGAGAAAATATCATAAGGAGACAGTAATGAAATTTGGACAGAGTCGGCAAAGAGGCACAAGCAAAAGCAGAAAAGTAAGAACGATCTTCCACTTCACTTAGGAAAGCCCCCATCAGTGTTGAGAAGCAAGTATTGATTTCACCTCCTGCCCATGTAAGACGGAGACTTCCAATCCACTCCAACGACAGCAAGCAGATGAATATTTAGAGCAGCGCAGGAAATTGAGAAAAGCAGGCCAGTTCCACCTTTCAATGATTAAGATGGATTACCCATGGAAGGACCAGGAGAATTGGAACTTTCACTGAAGAACAGTGGTTTCGTTTTTCTGCCTCCTTCGAGATTGGACGGGCAACCTGTACCTCCTGAGAGAAACAAGCCCCTCACTGTGTGGCCACCGAGATTAAACAAGCTTACTGCACTCTTCTACTGTAAGATCTTGGATTCATGTTCCTCAGTGTTGAGGGGGTAACGTATAAGTTCTGGCTGAAACACAACAATTTACCGCAATATGCAAACAGAAAACCAAGCACGCATGTGAAGCATAATGTAAGCCTTCCTAATGAAAAACACTATCCAGCAGTTGATCTGGAATAGAACATTCATTAAGCCATTATAGATGCATGAGAGTGGCAGTTGTTCACGTTGATGGTAGTTTTGTTCAGAATACAAATTTATCTGGAAAACTATTTAGCATTGATGTCTTCTTAGAACAATGCACCATGCCCCTGAGTAATCTCACAGGAGGAATGCCTTGGGGAAAAAAGAAAAACAATTCAGACTTGTCTGATTTTTTTTTTAATGTACTGGATGCACAGCCTCAACAGCATAGCTGCTAATAATTTGGTTAAAGAGTTGCAGTTGGAAAGGCACAGATCTGCTGTAATCTCAGCTTTCCCTCCATTTTAATATCAGTAAGGCAGTTTTAAAGAATCAAAAACCTCTTGGGCAACATGCTAATTTCGGTTCGTCTGTGTTTGGACAACGTGATCTTTATCCTGGTTGAGTGGTTTGAAGAATTTCGCCTGAGCTTTCAACATAGAATTCTAAAATGTGGCACTTGGGGAAGGGCACAGAGGAGTAGAAAGGAATACCAAATTAGACAGTGCCAGTTCTGTTCCTCAAAACGACTGCCAGTTTGCTTTCAAAGTCAAAAAGTGAAGATTGCTAACAAGGCTCATGCAAAATATTTCAGAGACCTTTCATTTTAAGCAGTAGATTCCAGCCCTTGCCCTCTGGGGCACCTGGGTCTGCTGGTTTTTGGTTCAAATGAGCTG